AACATTAGTTTCCTCTTAGACATATATATATCATAACCATTCCCGACTCCAAAGTGTTATCATACCGTTTTCTCTCTCATGACTACTATGCAATTGACTGCTTAATCATCTATCCTAGAGAATCAACACATGCATCCTTAAATGACATAATCGAATCCTCATCAAGAATCATTGATGAACTAAATTGTGGGAAAAAATTGTGGCATGCTTTAAACAATTACCCAAAACCATTACTTGATCATTAAACTTCATTGCGCTAATATATTCACTATGTCCTAGTATATACATATTCCTTTTGACTTTTTTAAAGCTTATTACTTACATAAACTACCTCCATAACAACGTAAACCTCATAATTATCAGGAAATTCATGCATTCTTTGATCATCTCCAAGTCTTGTCAACCACATTGTCAAGTTCCTGGTAATACAGTTGTCTTCTAGCATATACAATAATCTCATGATTCACAACAATACTTATCTATGTGGTACACTCATTATAGCTTTAACATCCAGCATATACTTATTGATGTCATTGATTTCTCTTAACTTCATAAGTTTGGATTTCATTGTTTGTAGTTGTTCTTACATCTTGTGCACACGGTTTATGAACAATCACATAACTGATTTAGTCACAACATCCCAATCATCTGTCTTTTTAACCTTAAATATAGGCTAGTTTTCTCGTAACTGCATTTCATCTTATGTTTCAACAAAAGCCAAGCACAACAAAATCTCCAAAATTTCACTAATCATGAACATTTAAAATACCATACTTGATCATGYTTTCACATTTACTTGTTTTCTTTAAAATCATTCAAATTCATCTTCTCACACATGGACATCATGATTTTTTGTCAATCCTCAAAGTAATAATTTAGTGAAACGCTCCTAATTACTCCTCAGTTTTTGCTTAATATACAAAATGATTCTATGACCTATTACGTCCGATTTGTTTCATATATCTTTCAATTCGTGCTGCAGTAGCTTCAGTTCTGGTTGATTAAATACATAAACACATTCACATGTCTTTTCTAATATTTTTCATTACTCTCATAATCAAATACATAGACACATGCTTATGTCTCTTTTAAATGTTCAATTCACTTCATTTCACTACAATCACTTACAAGTGTCCATCCATGAATTCTTTATTTTGGTCGATTTGGTCACAAATTTCCAATCATCTATCTCTTAACCTTCAAATTATATACTAGTTTCCTCATGTCTGCATTTGATCTTTACAAAATCTCCAAATTTTAATCAAAGTTTACTTAACTGTATATGATCATTCAACAAACAATCTCCTCTATATCTTGTTGTTTACATTCAAACTCAAGTTTTCATACTTGTTTTTCCCAAAACATTGAGATTATCAATACAAAATCATGAAAATCCATCTTATTTTACTCATGGATGTGGTTTAAGTCAATCCTGAAAGTAATAAATTATATACTACCAAAAGACTTGAGATTACCCTTCCAATTTGTCCCATAGCATCATGGCTTAGTATGTTATTACTTAACACTTCCAGTGAAAACTTAGAGTATCCTTACGTACTACTAATGACTAATTAGCCAAATATATCTTACTATATCCGTAATACCAGAGTCATGAGTCGCATAATACTTTTGATTAGCTTCTACTTAATTACATTAGCATTTGATTTGACATACATTATGACCTTGAACATCAAGCCCGTTTCAAATACTTTTTGTTACTCTCTTAATCTCTTAACTTCAAGTTACTTAATCAAA